CCAGATCTGGGATGCAGATATCTAGATAACCATTAGATGGTGTTCTGGTTCTCTCTGCTACCATCTAGTGGTCATTTCATGTTCTGCAGCCCAACCCTGGCACCCTTATTGACTTTATTGTTTATTGACTTGATTGATTAATTAGTAGGCTTTTATGCTGTTCCAATCACATCTGACTCTGAGCAGCTAACATTCCTGAATTCAATAATCAGATTAAATGCCCAATTACAGAACAGTATGAAGTTCAAAAAACACTGAGTTAGAGCATGGTTGCCTCAATTGTGTGCTGTCTGTACCAAAAAGACTCTAGGCCTGTGTTTTGGAATTTTGTGTTTGTCTAAGTTGTCCATGAGATACCTGGATTTTGGAACTGCAGCTTCATTTTTCAGCTATTAACACATTTCATGTTGCCGTAATCAAAACAACTCTTGGTGACTTACATAATTTTGGCTTTATTGAAATAAAAACATACAGAAGTGCCCTGAAGGAAGGGAATCAACTCTGAGATGCCATTTTCAAATACATACTGTATTTATCTAGTTCAGTTGTATGCTGAGAAGGACAGAGGAAGGAGTATAAAAACTCAAAACCCTTTTTCTGATGTCTTCTCAGATATGGGTCTGTATGTTATTTCAAAAAAAACACTAATCTCTCAAAAACAAGCCCTCTTTAAAGATAATGAAGAGTACAGGAGGAATGGACTGCTTTAAGATAGACTCAGATGGATATTTATTTGTCTGTATTTCTGGATAAATTTCTGGGTCTATTTCTGATTTCTTTGATTTTGTTTTGTGGGGAACAGGGAGCTAATGGGACAAAGCTTCCAGGATGAATTCTCAGACCTGCTGCTCCTGAAAATGTTACAATCAGCAACCGAGGCGTCAAAAGACAAAGACAAGGCCGGTATCTCAAGATTTGTGCATGTATGCTTGTAATAGGCAGGGATGCAGGTCTGGTGCACTCTTGGATTCAGGCATGTTTGAAATTCTACAGTTTGGCAGGCCAAATTTGTCAAGTTACCCGTAAGTGGAAGAGTGCTGAGATAAACACCAAATGATTCAGTCAGAACGGAACCAATGTGGTGAGATGGAGTCATCCGTAGAGGACAGAAAAGTTAGAGTTACTTATTTAAGTGGGGAGACTTTCATCTGAAAAGGGACCTGCTGTGGTTCTTCTGTCTTTGACAGGATATATGCTATTATATCAATATATAGTATAACATTCCCTGTAACGCAGGTTGAATTTTTTAGCACTTATTTAACAGGTTCATGGAGAAAATCTATCTATGCAGTCGCTAGGAGTTGAAAACAACTTGATAGTACGTAATCAATCAATTGAACAGGCTGGTTCTTTTCAAGGGAATCTGAACGATGGCTGCATCTTCTACAGATGATTCTTCACCACAGAGGGACTGCGTTTGCAGCATCTTTTAAGTATTTCCGAGTCATCTGTCCAGCCTTCTCAGGACAATGTACCCAGTATGGTTCTCATAAAATAGACAAAAATACAAATCCCTAATGTGACAGCACCTCTGAGAAAAACAATAAAAAGTAGCAAAAACAGAAATGATGGAGCTCTTTTTCTATTTAAAGGCATGGACCAACTTCAAATTAATCAGGCAGAAGTAAATGTCAATAATCATGTTTTTAAACATAATCAAAACGTATTTCCACTCACAATTGCTAATATTGATTGTGGATTTTCCTATTTACAGTTACTGTGGTGGTGTGATGGAATGGAATTATGAAGGCCAAACTCAGGGAGGGAAACACGCTCTTTCGTCTCCTGAGGGGCGAGGAATCCTCGCCCCTCAGGAGCCGAAAGAGCCTGTCTCCCTCCCTGAGTTTGGCCTTCATAATTCCATTCCATCACAGGTGGTTTCTTGATTGCCTGAAAGCTATTCCTGTTCTTAATATGGATTAGGAATGAATTAAAATTTTAAAAAGTGTTCTCCTTTAAGAAGCTCCTAGACTCCATGTTTTGCTGCAAGAAGCTAATCCAACTACTCCTCTGAAAGATGTCCCTTTTTTTAGTAGCCTCCTTGATGTTATGGAATGGCCCAGATTTACTCAATGAGTTTTCTGGTTGAGGAGGGATTTGAATGTGGCTCTCCTCAGATGATGTCTGGCACTTTACTGCTATGCTCTCTCATGCTTACAGCTTTCTATGTGGTGGGACTGTAACTTGCTTAGATGCTGATCAAAATCTGGCATGGTTGCAGAAAACCGTACAGAAACCAATCACCCAGCAATTTTATAAGCATAACATATACCAAGTATATCATTTATTGCTTGTTCCCTGGTTTTCTATCTCTAAAATGCACAATGTAGCTTCAGGGTATAAGAAAAACAGACATTCATACCAAGGCAAAGACATTAAAATGCTTCTCTAAATAAACGAAATCCAGTAGTCAAAAGTAGATAATAATGTGAACGTCATCCCAATTAAATTTCTACACACTCTTAGCTTGCAGGAAAGGAGGTGGATGGCTTGAAGGGTTGCATCCTTGCCCTCAGGAAGACCCAGTCCATCCTACTGGCTCAGAGGCCCAAAAGGCTGGAGTACAGAGCAAGATGGATTCATAACATTGTTCAGTATTTGAAGGCAATGACAGCACCAGCTTTTACAGTACAAGCAACCAGCTTTTTCAATCTCTCTTTCAGGTCAAGAGCAACGCTGTCCGTGCCCTGGGAAACCTCCTTCATTTTCTCCAGCCATCCCACACCACCAGTCCCAGATTCAGCCAACCCATTGAGGAATCCATCCACGCTCTGACGTCTACAGTGCAGAGTGATGCCACAATGAAAGTGCGTTGGAATGCCTGTTACGCGCTTGGAAATGTCTTTAAAAACCCTGCATTGCCATTAGGTAAGTAAAAACAGCAGTGTGTGGCTTCCAAACAGTGGTACAGAAATGTCCCCCAGTTCTTTATCAGCACCGATGTCCTCTCCCATCTCTTTATGTCAACCAGCAAGGAATCTGGGGCTGTCTAAAGATCATGGGATGCAGGATTATGAAGAGAGGCGGCTAGATCAGACTGAGAGGGACCTCGTGTCCTGCTACCCGTAGAAGCTGTCTAAATGCCTGGAGAAAGCTCATCCATGGATTTAAATGTAGTAGCTCTAACCTGCTGTTCAAGCTGAGAAAGGCCAGCGATGGAAGCTTAAGCTTGCCTGCTGATAATCCCAAATTCATTCCCCAACCTCCAAGATAGCTGAGCAAGGCCTCTGCTTGGGAGAGAGACTGTTATTCAGAAGGGACAATACCCTGATGGAAAAGTAGGCTTATATTAAATGGAAATGATACTAAAAACGGTGGAAGTTGTAGAGAGTAAGGACGATGACCTTGACGGAGATATGCAAGATATCCAAGCACTGTGGCCGAGGTAACAAGGGGTAAAATGTATTTTAAGTCCACAACATCCAGATAACATTTGGAAATGGCTCAGGCAGACACCTCCTGAGTTCACTGGGATTTAAGGAGGAGGAGGAAGAACAGCACAATCAGACTTGCAAGCTTCTGTTCTTATAAGCCATTTCAGTAAAAGTAGTTCTAGTTTTCAGGTGGAGTTAATTTCCTAGTCTGGTCTACCTAGCAGGGCTGACATCAGTCTTGCAAGTCTGCTTGTGCTGTCTCTCCTCCCCCTTCTTATATTCCTGTGAATTAGGGAGGTGTCTGTCTGAGCCCCTTCCAAATATTTTCTGTCTGTTGTGGACTTTGGGCAAGTTACACCCCTCATCACTTTGCTTTGACACATCCCCATCAAGGTCGTCACCTTTACTCTCTCAAGAAGTCTGGTGAGGCTTTGATATTCTCACATGACGTCCTGAGAATGCTTGGGACAAGATTGCGGAAACCTTGAGATTCAGGCCATCACATTTTTAAAAATGATAATGAAGGTGATGGTTGTGGCACTATGGGGACTAAAAATACTAGTTTTAGTCATAAAAACTAAAGTCATTTTAGTCATTGTCATTCCGTATGTCAGAGTAATTCAGTACAGGAAGATTTTCTCCCAGCTCAGTTGTCAGTAGCACTCTTGAACATCCTTCTCCATGCAGGTGCCCTCTTGTAGTGGACCACAGTTCTTATTATTCCAGCCAGCTGCATTGTTGGCTAGGATGATGGGAAATGTCACCCATTGCATCTGGAGAGCGTCAGGTTGGAGGAGGCATTAAAAAAAAAATGTTGGCTTCCTGATAAAAAATTTTTTTGCCTATTTTGAATTCTTTAGGAGAAGCCCCTTGGACTGGCAAAGCCTACGATGCCCTCACATCAGCGGTCAAGTCCTGCAAGAATTTTAAAGTCCGCATCAAATCAGCCGCGGCTCTCTCCGTGCCATCTGAAAGGAGGCATTATGGGACTCCCAAGCAATTTTCCCAGATCTGGACCGCGTTGGTGACCGCTTTGCAGCGGAGTGAGAATGCCGAAGACTTCTTGGAGTTCAAATACAGCGCTAGCCTCCGAAGGCAGCTCTGCCACGCTCTGCTTCATCTGCTGAGCCTGGCTGAGGTGGCTGACCTACCAGACATCAGGAGGACAGTGATGGAGCAGGGAGAAGTAATTCGATCCTACATGTTGCAGTATATGAAATCGGGGGCTGAAGGTGAAGAAGCAGGAGCAGGAGAGACCGTTCCTGGAAGAGACAGAACCCTGGAAAGGGCCATTGAGAATGTGCGAAGGGTGGAGGAAGCATCTGAAAGCTACCCAGTGAAAAGGGGGACGCTGGCTTACTTAGAAGACCTCTTGAAGACCTACAACAGTTCTACAGAATTCACCAAAGCTTAAGGCAGCTGGAGAAGCAGAAGCCATGCCAAACTTGTGCTTATTACTAACGCACAAAAAAGATTGGAGAGGAAGCTATTAAATGATCTCAAGACTTACTGTGCAGCCACTGCCTGCAGAAGAATTAAAAGGTCCTTTTCTGTGGACCCTTTTTCCTTTCCTTTTTAATCACAGGGAAAGACTTCACAGAGGTTTTTTATACATTTTAAGCATTTGTCCTACCAACTGCCTCATTCCCAAAGACTCTACACAAGTAACGTAGGCAACAAATGGCACAGATTGGGGAAGGGTTTGCTACATCATAAATACAAAATAAAGAAAAACAAATCAAGTACCCATATATTTACATTCTCTAAAAATATCACTTTGTTCCAGTAAAGAATAAATTATTCGGTTCTAAACTTATTTTCATTGATGGTCTTTTGCCTTCCTGTGTAAGTCCTCTTATTTATCTTTCCTCTCTCAGTCTGAAGATACCAGGTTAGGAAAGGGTGGGTGGGGAAAAAAGGGTCTTCCCTTTTTGTCATGGGTGCGTCTTGTCTTGTTTTCAGGTGGATGCCCACCCCCAATTTAAAATGGCAATCTGAGTTTGACGTGGCAAACTTTAATTGTGTTGAAACCCACCTATTTCACTAAACTGGTGGCTATTCTTTTTAAGGCAGATCTTTATGTCTTCAAAGTTAAGGGTGCTTTTTGGACATCACGCCAAGCCACAGCTAGGGGTGCCTGATTACAGGTTGGCAACAATTAATTTTAGTTATAGCTGTCCTTTCCTTCTCCTGCTCTACAGGAGGAGTATATTGGTGAAACTGAATGTTTCAAGGCAGAAAAGATGAACAGCTTTTCCCCAACCTGGCTGTCTTCAGATATGTTGGGAGTACATCTCCCAGGATCCCAGCCAGCAAAGGTATGGAGCTTGCAAATTCTGGAACCTCTGGTCCCAGCACTTCTCCACAGCACCATGTTCAGAAAAGTGGCACGTTGCTGGAGTTGTCATTTTTAATAATTCCTTTTAATGATAAAAACAGGAATGGAAGCCCTGAAGAATTACTTCTGGCCTGACTATTAGCACAGGTATAGAGGGTCAATGCGGAAAACCCAGCGAAATGGAGAAATCTTTCCAATAGCTTGCTTTGCACTGTAGCAATGTTATTACATGTATTGTGCCTTGGCCAACCTCTAACGTATCAGCCCATTTAAGATGAGGGTCAGTAAAAGAACAGCATTGTTGGCAAGAGAGAATCTGTTTACTATGTAAGTCCTTCAGGAGGTATTCAAGCTTCACTGAATTTTCATCTGATACTTCTCGCAGTCTTTCTCCACCTTTGCTCCAGAAGTCAACTTGGTGCTCTGTGGGCGTCTTACGTTCCCCATAGCCGTATCTAAGGTGTATCCATTTTATGCACGTGCAACTCTTGAGGGCAGACCCTTGAGCTGTGCGTGTGGAGGACTTCCAGCTTTCAGGGGGAGGCATCCCGTTGGGGCAAGGGTGCGTTAACAACCTCTAAGTGCGCAGGGGGTGGATTTTATGGGGATTTTTGCCTCATTGTTCTGTTTGCAAGCCAGCCCTTTGACATCCTTCCCTTGGATTGTTTCAAGGTGAGGGCACTTTGCTTATCAGCTGGAGGTATGATTTATTACAGGCCAGAGAAGTGACGGGCCTTTCCTAGTTCTCTCTGGCCTCTTTGAAAGGTAAGTAAGAACTTTGAAGCATTTCTGGATTTTTTTGGTTTTTTTTTTTTGTCCTCCATAGCGCAGAGGCTTTCATACTTCCCACCGTTGGGTGTGCTTAACCATTGACACATGCCTAGGAATGCCTGTGCCTTGCAAAAAATAAAAATCTGGGATGTTGATTGGGTATGAGTCAGAATACAGGGCTGTACCATGTTACTCTGATGTAGTGGCCGGGTTGCTGCAGGCTGAGCTGCTAGGATTTGGGGATGATGGGATACCATGATGCCAGCTATCCTATTACTAGTGGTGCCACAGAGGTGTGACACATGTAAAAAGATAGTGTTTCAGTTGTCATAGCCACCATATTGACTTTTTGACAGCCCTCCCCCTCTTCCTGGACCCCCTGCAAGGTGTATTTCATATTACTAATTTTGTCCTGGCCCTTTTTAAGTGGCTGAAGTAAATCCTCTATGGATGCAGCCCAACATTTGAGGACTATACCTTTATGATTCTATTATCATTTTTCATGATTCAGCTATAATATTGTGTGAAAAGTGCCTTTACTTGATGTTCAGCAAGGGTAGGACTCCATCTCATCTTGGACTCCTTGATATCCCCCCCCCCAAGCCTGTACAAAGAGGAAATGAGCAGGTCAACGTCTCATCAGGAAGATGGCTATCTTCATGTTCCAAGCCGGTCAAGACCAGTTTTCTGAGTTTTTTTTTCAGAAGTAGCTTGCCCTTGCCTTCTTCTTCCTAGGGATGAGAGACAGGGGTTGGCCCAAAGGTGCCTGTGGTTTCTTGCCTAAGGCAAGACCAGAACTCATGGACTCCCGATTTATAGCTCACTACCTTTAACCACAACACCAAACTGGCCCTCTTTGTATTCACACCAACAACTAAATTAAGAGTGGAGCATGATCGAAGAAGCTTTGGCTTATGCATTGGGCTTCTTCTGCAAGCCCGTCTAGCAATGGTCCAAGCTAGAAGACGCCTCACGAAATGGAAACACCTCTTCATTTGGCCCACTCCAGGCGAGCGATCCTGTTTCTTCTCCCATCTCCTTCCAACCTCCAAGCAATCAAAAGTCCAAAGTTCAGGTGGTAGCTTCAAGTTATACAACTCAAGTCTGTCACACAATCTCGCTAAGTCAACACACCGTTTTCCTCTCTAGAAAAAAAATTGACCGTTTCCTTGACTCCAATGCATTTCTCAGCTGCACTGCAAGTGCCGAAACCTGCAGCTTTTGGAAGGGGTAAGAGGTAATGATCTCAAAGGTTGGTCCAAGCTTTGAACTGCATTCCCAAATTGTCTTTAGAAGCTCTTGCTTGATTGGAAGTCAGGGCTCAGCAGCACGGTGCCCGCAGATACTAATGTACTCTTTGGAGTCTGGTAGGCTCCCTGCCCCACCTGCATTTAATTCTTTTTAAAAATCCTATTAATTTAAAAGCTAACAAATGAGACACTGCAAAGCACAGCATCACCCTCTAGCATCCCCTTGATAAAAATGTCTGGTGCTCATATATCGGTCCTCTTAAGTATTCTTATAAAATACACATGGTTGGTTAGTGCAATTTAGTGCTTTGTTTTATTTTAATATGTGAAGCAATCTGTCCAAAGAAAAAGACAGAGGGGAACCAGGAGGGTTAAGAGCTGCCTGGGCACCTGGAAATGTGCTCAGATTGAAAGCTGATCAATGCTGGACATAACGGAGCTATTATTTCCTGAGATTTGGAAACTATCTTTCTCTTGATGTGGCCTAAAATTGGATTTTCCTCTTTAGGTTGGTGCCTTCTTTAATGGTCTTTCAGGAAACGGTAACGAGGGATCTCTTTTGGAAGACATGGGTGAATTTATATTGCTGCTGTTGTTATTATAATTATGGATTTTTTTTTTTTACTTGATGATAACCCTCAGAATTACTGGGAATATGTGAACATTTACATTTTACCTACTGTGGATGTTTTAATTATCATTTTTCTACTGTGTTTGTTTTAATTGTTCATTGTAATCTGCCAGAATTTTTTTAGAGATTTGGCAGAATGCAAGGGTCAGTCAGTTGCTGATTTTATTTATTTATTTCATGAATTTATAGGGCCACCCAACTCAAACAATGTGACTCTGGATGGCATATAAGAGAAGCAAGCAATAAAGAAAGAAAAATAACCATACAGTGTTAAAAAAAGAACAGCCCAACATGTAAAATATAAAATGGCAACAAATGGGAAAGATCCTTTTTGTGCATACAGTGGTATACCTAGTATCCCCATATTCTTCCTGGGATCTGATTTCTTTTTCCTAAGTAAAGATTTTGCTTTGGTCGTTATTACATTTCATTCTGTTATTTTCTCTAATGTACCAAACCCTCTGGCACCCAACTGATAAACCAAACAAACATGTCATTCAACCCATTCCTAACTAGCTTGCTAATCAGAATGCCATAGGATACTTTGCTGAAGTCAAGGTATATTATGTCTGCTGCATTCCCACAATCTGCTATGGAAGTAATCTGACTGAAAAAATGAGGTAAGACTAGAATGGCAAATCTTCCTTCCTTCTCCTTCTGGCCCTACAGATTTAACTCATTAAAGAATAGGAAGTATGTCCTGATAATCTTTTTCTCAGGCTCAAGTGAACCATATTTCGACCAAGCTTTATGGTACACCAGGCTGCAACACTGGTGTGTTTTAATTATAAAAAAAGTTCCTTTTTAGGCTGGCCTTCCCAGCTATTAACTTCCTCTAGCTTTTGTTTTATAATGTATTGTTTCCAATTCTGGTTTTAATTCTGCTTTTAAATGGTTGTAAGTCTTCTAAACCACTTCAGGATGATTTGCAATCAGAAATGGTTTAAAAATATATTTCATCTTCATCATTATGGTGATTCTGCTGGAATGCTGCTGCCAGACAAAGTTGGGCTAACTAGGGAAATCCATAAGCCGATAATCAGGAGTTTACTATCTACCTGTATTCCTCTGACTTGAGGAAGCAGGGTGGAAGAGATAGGAGAAAACAGAGGAGGTGAATCATTGTAATGCCTCCTACAAGTTAAACATATTTCCTTGATCGTAAAAATAACACAGTTCGGCTCTTGTTTAACTTGCAGGGAGCATTACAAAGATCACCCTAAGGTGTGGTTTGTTTAGCGTTAGCTTAGTGTGCTATGGCTTAATGCAATGTGTGAATCCGGCCAAAGTTTGGTGTTTTTGTTCCAGAGTGAAAGAAGAGATGTTTGCTAGGCATGTCAGAAGCATTAAACGCCATCTCCTGTCTGTGGGACCATCCAAGAAAAAGTTTATCTTTGTTATTATCCTGAATGTTCTGTCTGGTTCAGAGACAGGTCCTCCAAGCTTCCATTTCAATTGCTAGAATTAGATTAGGATGGTATTTTTGGGGTGGGAAATAACTTTAAAATTGCTGTCCATCAAATCTTGACAGGCCAAGCCATGACCCGGGTTGCTGACTTTGGGGAAGGATAGCAATCAGATCTATTTACTCTCTATTCCTCTTCTTCTTTCTCCTCCTTCAGATGATAAAAACACATCCAGGAAATACCTTCAGTGACCCTTTGACAGATAAAAAAAATCCCAATTTAAAATAGAAGTGTGTGTGTTTTTCTCAGATTTGTAGAGCTACAAACAAGAAGTTAATCTTAGGTCAAGCAAACCCAAGTACAAGCTGTAGAGGTTTTGGTCTGAGTCTAAAGTCTGAGCTTGG